ACACATGAGGGGATGAGGGAGTTCTCTGGAGCCTCTTTCAGAAGGGCACTAATTCCAATCATGAGGGCTTCATCTTCATTTACCCCCCAGAAGCCCCACTTCTTAACACCATCACATTGGGTATTAGGATTTCAACATAAGAATTTTAGGAGGACATAAACCTTCAGACCATAGCAGTCAGGTTCATATTACCAAGTATATAGGCTTCTAGTAATCTGAGTTCCATGGCGGAACTTAACATACCTTGTCCTAAATACCAGCTGAACATTTGTTACTGATTAGATAGACACTTTTAAGTTTTACTACCTGACGAGGTCCTGTGGTATGAATATTTTGTATTGTTGTTATAAAGGCAGATCTATAAATTTTGGAAATATTAATGGTTTAATATTAACATTCTGTTGTAAAAATTGAGAAGTAACCAATATTCTGGATATGTGGAGGGAAGGGACATTTGCACAGGAGAAAGGTAACAGCTCCATGATGGCAGCTCACTGTCCGTGAATGGTCCTGGTGTGCACCAGGAAATGCAGGCAGTTTGACTGGGCTGGGGGTGTGTGGCAGCTCCACGGCCTGTACAGGAGGGACCTGTGAGCAATGGGCAAGTTGGAAGGAGTTGGAGATTTTTCTGGAAGCTGTGTTTTCTCAGCAAGCACAATGTTTTAACTTAGATCATGGGTTAATTTAAGATGGCTTAGTGGGAGGTGCTGACAGACATTATAGGAAGGCTAGGCAAAGATCATTGTTTGGAAGGCCTTGTGTCCTGTGCTAAGGAATCTAGATTTTTATCTTGATGTGAAGGGTTTTAAATAAAGTGACATGGTCAGATTTTCATTTCAGAAAAAATATCCTGTTCCTGGTGTGGAGAGAGATTTTAGGGGACTGAATCTGGAGGCAGGAAGATCAGTTGTTCAGTCCAGACATGATGGAAACTAGGGTAGTGACTTGAGGGGTGAAGATGAAAAGACAGATACCGACTGGGTGATGTCTCTTCAACTCTGAGGTCTGACGGTGAGGGTGGGGTTGAGGGTGAGATCCATGTTTCCAGGCATGGGTGCCTGGGGAGCTTGTTGGAGACTTTGAAGTAGGAGCAGATGTTGGGGCTTAGGGGGCTAAGTGGAATCTAATTTTCATTTTGCTAATGAAGTATTAAAAGGGTTCCCAGTGAGCTATAGTCATTGTGGTTAAGAGGACAAAAAAGGTTGAGCAAACTAGAGATAGTGATGAGATGGTACCCAAGCTGACTATTCATAGGAAGGAGCATAACTGTATGGGTTATGGGTTGATAGGCTGGGAAAAAATGGCTGGGGTCAAGGGATGGATGTCCAAAGAAATTGAAGAGCAGGCATGAATGGGTAGAATGAATGGGTGGGCATGAATGGGTAGAATGAATGGAAGGAGATGAAATGATTGCATGTGAGGAGGATGATGAATCCTAAGGAGGTGGAGAGCTCTGTGTGATGACAAGACTGAGCTGGGCATCCAGTCATGAAAATGCTGAAACCAAGGGGAGGCTAAGGTCATCAAGGCAGAGAATATTAAGATGAGGTTACGTTTGGAGGGGTTCTCCATGGGTTTCTCATTGACAAGCAATGCTGATGCTAAATAAGGACCTCATGATTCCTTATTTTACTTTGTAGTTCCTTTTATAAAACGCAAGGTGAAAATGTCCACAAAATTAAATAACACTTTGTTGTCTGGGCTTTAACTATAGAACACTTGGAGAATAAACAGTGGGGTATTCTTTTGAAATGTAACTTCAGAAAATGAACACTCAGGTGTAATTGGTAATATATTTAATTTTTTATATACAATTTGATTTGCTTTCATAACTTTCATACTGTATAATTTTTTATTCCTTTTCACTTATGTAGACAAAATCAAGGCCTCAAGAAATCTAGGCAAAACAACTCTTATCTTTCCAATGTAGATGTTTATGGTGTCTTATTTTTTTCCAAACAAAATTATTCCTATTGCACCCAACTGAGCTTAATTAGTCCTATTTTTGAAACCTATGCAGTTTCAAAAAGATACTAATAGGCTATATGAATTTAAGCTACTTTTTCATGCTGAATATTACCATATTTGTAAAAGTTTCAGGCACTTATTATTTCAATATGTTGTAAAGTGAAGGTGAGGTAAAGTCATGGATACTTATGTGAAAACTTTCCGTGGAGAGAAAATCTGAAGTTTCTTTTTATTTTGATATGGTACTATATCTCTCATGGTTTAGACTTTGAGTTGGAAGCCTTTCAGTTCACTCTGAGTATGAAAATCTGTCATTATTAGTGTTAGAACTTTTTAATGTCTGTTGAGAACTCTTATGTAAATTTCACTATGGAAAATGTCATTAAAAATATGTGGAGTCAAACAACTTGTTACTTTTTTATATACAGAATTCCAAGTCCATATAGTTCTTGCATTCATATCTAAATGGAACCATCATTAAGGGTTTTGGCCTCTTTTTAAAGGGAAATATATTGTCTTGAGTTTTTGATGTTAATAAGAGTTTGGCATCTGGCCCAGGGATTATAATATCATTATGCTTCAAGCCATATTTAAGGAGGAGATTGCCAGAAGTGTAGTTGATATCCACAGCTAACTTTATGAAAATTGATTAAAGTATTTGCCTGATAACCAGACCATTTACCCCCAGAAACTAGAACTAAAAACTCAAATATTAGTTTGTCATATATAAACTATTATTTAATACAATTCTATATTCAGTCCACTTACACCTTATAATACCACAAACACGAGTTGAATCATGTTCTCCCAGATGCACAGTGAATGTTTCACTGTAATACAGAAAGCCTGTAACGTTTCTGCTAACACCAACATTATGGTAGTGTTCTCTTAGACATAATTTAGGTGAAAGTGTAATAAAAAGGATCTGCTTCAGTGCTATAAATTTTTAAGGGAAAATGCAGATTTTAGACAGAATTACTTGTATATTTGTAATATTTCTTACCTGGCTGAATTAACAAGTACCAAAGTGACTGAGGAAGGTATGGCTAAGCATTTAGAGAACTTCTAATTCTGGGATCTTAGCCTCTGGTCTGGAGGGGAGTTAGGTGAGATGGATTTTTTTGGGGAAAGGAACTAGATGATAGATGTCATGACGGTATCTTGAGTTGTTACCTGGGTCTGGGGTCGGCGGCCTGCGACAGGGCTGCAGCTTGGACTGCTAGTAGGTGCTGTCAGTTTGTGGCCCTGGCTGCTCCTTGTGGTCAGGTGACAGTGGTTAGCACTTTAGTGGAATAAAAAGACTGTGGGTCTTGACATTATTTGATATAGTTGTTTAGTGTGATGGGGAGTTCAGAAAATATGGGAATGTGGCAGCAGTGACCTGCCAGGCTTTCTGCAGGAGGCGTCAGCAATTAGAATATTTAGCTAGGGTGGGCTGGGCAGCTACCTGACAAACCTGTTAAAGGACTTGAAAAATGTTTTTCTACATTTAACCTTCAGGAAAAGACAAGGAATTTCTATATAAAAAAATCTAGGGCTACACTCCTCAAAGGGTGGGCCAAGGGCCAGCAGCATTGACACCAGCTATAAGCTTGTTAGAAATGAAGAATTCCAGGTCCTCACCCTAGATTTACTGACTGTAATCTGCATTTTGACTAGACTTTCAAGTAATTCATGTAAAGCTTTAAGGTTTGAGAAGCACTGGTCTTGGGCATAAAATGTTCTTTTGAGGCAGAAGAGAGAATTATAGGAGTTTGTAAAGTCACAAAAGCCATGGGAAGAGGGGACCCTAATAGCTGCAGGTGGTTGGTGGCTCCAGAAGTGCTCCAGGACTCACGGCCACTTAGGTAGGACTTGGGCCATCCCCATTCTGCATGGAAATTTGGACCAGGTAGTATCTGAGGTTTTTTGTTACACTGCCATCCTGTGAATATAAATATGATTCATTATCAAGCTTTCATTTTGTTCTGGATGTTTCTATTATTAGAGGATAATTGAGAATCTTCTTTGACACCTTTTCTGAGAACCAGTATGGAAAATATAAGGAAATGCCAGAAGGCTTGGTTGACCAAGATTGTTTTCACCCTCAGATTTGTAGTAGATACAAGAGTAGGATTAAGAAGCTTCTCTAATTAACTGACAGAAGGACTTCAACATAAACAAATAAACAAAAAAAATATATGTACAGCTGTTTGCTATATAGTTAAAACAGTTCTGTTACTTTATAAGTTGGGTTTGTTTTTTTTTTAAAGCTTTTCTTGTGCCTTTGGCAATCTGGTGAATTCTATGGGATGCTTCTCAGAATAGTATTTTAAATGTGTAACTATAACAAAGTACACAGGCCTATAAAGGAAGCCAATAAATAATAACATTCTCAAGAATTTAAAAATTTAGGATAAGGTAATCATCGGTATCTACTCTTTACTGTGATTCAAAATACTGATTAGCGTGAATGTACTTTCTTTAAATATGCAATAACTTGTTATGTGATAGGGAAATATTTTTGATTCCTACAAGTGACAGAGCTAACCATACTGCTGATATTAACCAGGTTTTTCTTCTTGATTGTAATACTAAATTTCAGTTAGAAGTTAGTGAAAATAAAGATGTGACATTTTTTCCCCTAAATGATTGATAGATTCCAGATTTCCTATTCTAAGGTGTTTATGTATTCTAGGACCACATTTTAATTTTTACTTCTGTTGGAAACCTCTGATAGGATTACTTGTACAGTTGTAATTTCTTAGTTACCTAATGTTTATTCAAAAGTATTTGCTGAGTTCATACTTTGGGTGCAGAGTCGGGGTAGGAAGAGAAGATGAAGATGATACCAAATTGAATGAATGAATGTCCATGCCTTTAAATATTAGCTGACAAAATACTTTTATTTCTAAAAACCAAGATAAATTTTATAGAAATCCAGTATGGATTTTAGCTTTTTAAGTTTGCATTGTTGCTTATACCTTAAAGTTTGGGGAACACAGAAAACTCCAATTTACCTGATTATGAATTAACCTGGAACTCTCACTTAGATTCTGAAGCCCTTCCTTGGAGAATGTTTCAGGTGGGTGATGGGTAAGTCTGTCCTTTTAATAGATTTGCCAGATGGATCCTTATCAACATGTAAAATTTAGAAAAGCTGAGCTAGATCATACTTTAATATGTACATAGAGGCACTTGGACTAGTCACACTAGTAATTATTTTCATAAGGAGGGATTGTGCTGTTTCTCTTGTCTGCGTTTCTAGGAGGAATCTTCACTACCGTAGGGCAACTTTGTAAAAAGGCCTGACATTGGTAGATGGCTTTCTCTAAGGAAAAGGGGTTTTTTCTTTCATCTGACCCGTGAATATAGTGACTGTATTTTGTGAACCCAGAGTCTGATTTATAAACTTTTTGTGGGTGGGAATATTCATATAAATTTTAACTGCTTTAATATATGTAACATATCACTTCTAGAAATGTAAAATTAGGTGAAGAAGGGATATATACCAAAGGATGACAGGCTAATTTATCATTGCAATAAAAGCCATTTATTACAGGCACTGGGTAAAGTACTTTGCATGTGTACTTCCTCTTCAGGAAGTATTTGAATGAATGGTTGAAAATAACTACCCTATGAAGTAGATGTTATGATCCTCATCCTACAATTGAGGAAATCGAGTCTTAAAGAAGTCAGGGAATGAGCTCAAGGTCACCGAGTTGGTGGAAAGCCAGAATTAACTTCATGCATTCCAAACTGTATCTGTGATAGCCAAATCTTAAAAAAAAATAGTGATTATGCTCTTTGTCATACTGTTTGCACACATGCACATAGTCATGTCCATTATGTCATTCTCTTTTCCATCTTTTTTCATCTCTTCTTGATCACTCAGCACTCCTTAAGTGTCAAAACCAAGACATTTATTTTTATTATTTGTATGTAAACAGTTTTTTGTCTACTTATTTGTAATCGACAATGAGCATAATAGACATATTTCTTTTTAAAGTCATATTGTTAAGTTTTTTATTTTCTACTTATGAATTTATGACCCTAGGCAATAAAATTATATCCCATTTATACTCTTAAGTACTCATTGGAGCTAATTATTAAAAAAATAACATAAAACTAATATAACCTGTGGTCTTTTAAGATGACCATGGCCTGGGCCGACATCAGTCACCAGGTGTGGATTTAGTGCTTGGTGGGTGCCTAAAACTGCCAACTGCTGTAGAAGAGACAGGTAACAGGGCATGCCTTGACCCTTGCAAAGTTGTTCTCTTGGGGAGAGGGAAGACTCCCTACTCCTTGGTGGGATTGGAACTCACAGTGTGGAAGTGTGTGTGGTTGGCAAAGGGAACACCAGGTAGGTGAATGGGAGTTATTTCTGCAGCTGCTGTGTGATCATATTAGGTAAACTCTGCCTACTTAGTCATTGGATAGGGATCTGAAATACAGATAAGAAGCCACTTCAGTCTTAATATTCTGACTGGCAGTGTTGTGGAAAATAGCCCAGGAATGACACTGAGTCTGCATTTGGCTGTCTGGTGCACAGAAACTTGTCACTCGTACTGTTTGGTCAGTAGAGCTCTACTGATTCTCTCTGTGCTGGGCAGAAACTGTCAGGCACTTTGTACAAGGGGTTGGTGTTTTGGTTGAAAATGAAAGATGCTGAATGCATGGGACACAGGATTATTCCTTGGGGTCACAGAAGATGATGTTTCTGCCATCTTCTAGAATGTAGCAGGCATAATGAAACTGGAGGTGTGGAAGCTTCTGTTTGAGTCTTTAAGACCAACAGTTTCCCCTCCACTCTCTTCTTTCCCTGTGTTAACGTTCTGGGGTCATTTTTTTTTTTTCTTTTTCCCTTTCAGTTTGGCACCAGTTATCTCTGATTCAGTTCTTGCTGTGGTTGTTAGTTCCTTGGATGAAGTGTCAACACATTTGACCCTCCTTCGCCTCTTCCCCAGCTACTCCCATCTGGCTAGAGAGTGAATGAGGTGTTTTTCTCATTCTTGTGCACTCACCATAGCTGGCCGTTTGTGAGCCAGCTGTTGTGTGGGACAGCAGCTGTGGGGCATGGAAGCTGAATGCTGGGCTCTTTTCTAAGGGGAGAATTAGAGCTGCTCCCTAGCATAGCACCGGAGGTACCATTAGAGGGTACTGCTGGCCCTTCACATCAATGGGCTGTACAGCTGGGACACCAGTAAGAGGAAACTAGACGAAGCTCTGGCAGTTCTTTGTCAAGAGGTTTGAATATAACCAGTGTTAGAGCAGAGCCATGCACACCTTGGATCTCTGCTGTCCTGCGTGCAAGCTGTGAACAGTGTAGTAAAACCTGCAGGGGTCCGTGACGCTTTACTTTCAAAGCATCCTGTTATTACTTCTTAATAGTAGAAGTCAATGTTCTGCTGTATCAGCTCCATGCATTGTTGAAACAGTAGGTTAGTATTTGCTACATAACAGTAAGCATTTTAATCATTTACTTTATATATCTGAATGAAATTCCATTTAAGTACAGATGCTCTAATACATTATTTGGAATACTTTTAGACTGAATAAATCTTATTTATTGTAAAGCCAATTATTTCAATCATTTTATTATATCTCAAAAAATGTACTTGTTCTCTTCTGTTAGTAAAGATAAAGTAAGGTGAACTTTAATAATAATTGGGCTTAAGGTGGGAGAATTATGAAAAAACTGTAAACCAATAAACAAAATGTATGTATTTTTTGATGAGTCTTTTGCCTGTGTAGAGACATATACTTAATGTCCTTAGGTAATATGAACCTAAGTCGTTCAAATTTGGTCTTTTTTGGTTTAAGATATTATAGTGGTTTCTTAGAACCTTTGTATGTTAATTTTCTCAAAGGGGAGAAGTGAGGGAAAGTGAAAGGGATTTCCTTATAATCCTGACTTTCAACTGGGAATAAAGTTTAGAAAGGATGTTACATGAAGACCATGAAGGAAAATAGCAGCTCTTATCTGACAGCACTCCTCACAGCATTGTACAATTGCCAGGACGAGGAACTGGCTTTAGGATTTGAGATAATTGTGTTTGATTGGGGTGTATATACTTTTTTTTAAAATCCCAATTCACAGTGTAGTTACTATCTGACAGTGTAGAAAAGATATTTCAGAATTATGTATTTATGTATTCTAGGACCACATTTTAATTTTTACTTCTGTTGGAAACCTCTGATAGGATTACTTGTACAGTTGTAATTTCTTAGTTACCTAATGTTTATTCAAAAGTATTTGCTGAGTTCATACTTTGGGTGCAGAGTCGGGGTAGGAAGAGAAGATGAAGATGATACCAAATTGAATGAATGAATGTCCATGCCTTTAAATATTAGCTGACAAAATACTTTTATTTCTAAAAACCAAGATAAATTTTATAGAAATCCAGTATGGATTTTAGCTTTTTAAGTTTGCATTGTTGCTTATACCTTAAAGTTTGGGGAACACAGAAAACTCCAATTTACCTGATTATGAATTAACCTGGAACTCTCACTTAGATTCTGAAGCCCTTCCTTGGAGAATGTTTCAGGTGGGTGATGGGTAAGTCTGTCCTTTTAATAGATTTGCCAGATGGATCCTTATCAACATGCAAAATTTAGAAAAGCTGAGCTAGATAATACTTTAATATGTACATAGAGGCACTTGGACTAGTCACACTAGTAATTATTTTCATAAGGAGGGATTGTGCTGTTTCTCTTGTCTGCGTTTCTAGGAGGAATCTTCACTACCGTAGGGCAACTTTGTAAAAAGGCCTGACATTGGTAGATGGCTTTCTCTAAGGAAAAGGGGTTTTTTCTTTCATCTGACCCGTGAATATAGTGACTGTATTTTGTGAACCCAGAGTCTGATTTATAAACTTTTTGTGGGTGGGAATATTCATATAAATTTTAACTGCTTTAATATATGTAACATATCACTTCTAGAAATGTAAAATTAGGTGAAGAAGGGATATATACCAAAGGATGACAGGCTAATTTATCATTGCAATAAAAGCCATTTATTACAGGCACTGGGTAAAGTACTTTGCATGTGTACTTCCTCTTCAGGAAGTATTTGAATGAATGGTTGAAAATAACTACCCTATGAAGTAGATGTTATGATCCTCATCCTACAATTGAGGAAATCGAGTCTTAAAGAAGTCAGGGAATGAGCTCAAGGTCACCGAGTTGGTGGAAAGCCAGAATTAACTTCATGCATTCCAAACTGTATCTGTGATAGCCAAATCTTAAAAAAAAATAGTGATTATGCTCTTTGTCATACTGTTTGCACACATGCACATAGTCATGTCCATTATGTCATTCTCTTTTCCATCTTTTTTCATCTCTTCTTGATCACTCAGCACTCCTTAAGTGTCAAAACCAAGACATTTATTTTTATTATTTGTATGTAAACAGTTTTTTGTCTACTTATTTGTAATCGACAATGAGCATAATAGACATATTTCTTTTTAAAGTCATATTGTTAAGTTTTTTATTTTCTACTTATGAATTTATGACCCTAGGCAATAAAATTATATCCCATTTATACTCTTAAGTACTCATTGGAGCTAATTATTAAAAAAATAACATAAAACTAATATAACCTGTGGTCTTTTAAGATGACCATGGCCTGGGCCGACATCAGTCACCAGGTGTGGATTTAGTGCTTGGTGGGTGCCTAAAACTGCCAACTGCTGTAGAAGAGACAGGTAACAGGGCATGCCTTGACCCTTGCAAAGTTGTTCTCTTGGGGAGAGGGAAGACTCCCTACTCCTTGGTGGGATTGGAACTCACAGTGTGGAAGTGTGTGTGGTTGGCAAAGGGAACACCAGGTAGGTGAATGGGAGTTATTTCTGCAGCTGCTGTGTGATCATATTAGGTAAACTCTGCCTACTTAGTCATTGGATAGGGATCTGAAATACAGATAAG